TGAAATTAAAAAAAAAACATAAAAGCCACAAATAGCTTTGTACACCTTTCTGCTTGGGATGTGTTATGTAATTTTCTCTTTTTTTCATCCATAATAGCATGCTGGAGTTTGTCGAGACGTCTGAGGGGGTGCAATTGGGGATGAAATTAAAAAAAAATCACAGAAGCCACAAATGGCTTTGTACACCTTTCTGCAAGCGATATGTTATGTAGTTTGCTCTTTTCTTCATCCCAGGTACCATGCTGGAGTTTGCCGAGTCGTCTGAGGGAGTGCAATTGGGGATGAAATTTAAAAAAAAATCATAGACGCCACAAATGGATTTGTACACCTTTCTGCTTGCGATATGTTATGTAATTTGCTCTTTTCTTTCTCCCAGATACCATGCTGGAGTTTGTCGAGCCGTCTGAGGGGGTGCAATTGGGGATGAAATTAAAAAAAAATCACAGAAGCCACAAATGGCTTTGTACACCTTTTTACTTGAGATATGTTATGACAATAGCTATTTTCTTTATGCCTAATACCATGCTGGAGTTTGTCGAGCCGTCTGAGGGGGTGAAATTGGGGGTGAAATTAAACAAAAAATCACAGAAACCACAAATAGCTTTGTACACCTTTCTGCTTGGGATATGTTATGTAGTTTACTCTTTTCTTCATCCCTGATAGCATGCTGGAGTTTGCCAAGCCGTCTGAGGGGTGAAATTGGGGATGAAATTAAAAAAAAAACAGAAGTTACAAATGGCTTTGTATACCTTTTGGCTTGGGATATGTTATGTAGTTTACTCTTTTCTTTATCCATGATACCATGCTGGAGTTTATCAAGCCGTCTGAAGGGGTGCAATTGGGGGTGAAATAGAAAAAATCATAGAAGCCACAAATGGTTTTGTACACCTTTCTGCTTGGAATATGTTTTGTAGTTTCCTTTTTATTTCATTATTTCATGCATGATACCATATTGGAGTTTGTCGAGCCGTCTGAGAGGGTGCAATTGAGGGTGAAATAAAAATAAAAATTATAGAAACCAAAAAATGCTTTGTACACCTTTCTGCTTGGGATATGTTAAGTACTTTGCTCTGTTCTGCATCCCAGATACCATGCTGGAGTTTGTCGAGCCTTCTGAGGGGGTGCAATTGTGGGTAAAAATAAACCAAATATCATAGAAGCAACAAAGAAAAGAGCCAACTAGATAATATATCACAAGCAGAAAGGTGTACAAAGCCATTTGTGGCTTCTATGTTTTTTTTTATTTCACCCCCAATTGCACCCCCTCAGACGGCTCGACAAACTCCAGCATGCTATCAGGCATGAAGAAAAGAGCAAACTACATAACATATCCCAAGCAGAAAGGTGTACAAAGCCATTTGTGGCTTCTATGGTTTTTTATTTCACCCCCAATTGCACCCCCTCAGACGGCTCGACAAACTCCAGCATGGTATCTGGAATGAAGAAAGGGGCAAACTACATATCATATCGCATGCAGAAAGGTGTACAAAGCCATTTGTGGCTTCTTTAATTTTTTTTATTTCACCCCCAATTGCACCCCCTCAGACGGCTCGACAAACTCCAGCATGGTATCAGGCATAAAGAAAATAGCTATCTTCATAACATATCTCACGTAAAAAAGTGTACAAAGCCATTTGTGGCTTCTGTGATTTTTTTTTTAATTTCATCCCCAATTGCACCCTTTCAGACGGCTCGACAAACTCCAGCATGCTATCAGGGATGAAGAAAAGAGCAAACTACATAACATATCCCAAGCAGAAATGTGTACAAAGTCAGTTGTGGCTTCTATGATTTTTTGTTTAATTTCACCCCCAATTGCACCCCCTCAGACGGCTCGACAAACTCCAGCATGGTATCAGTCATAAAGAAAACAGCTATCTTCATAACATATCTCAAGTAAAAAGGTGTACAAAGCCATTTGTGGCTTCTGTGGTTTTTTTTATTTCACCCCCAATTGCACCCCCTCAGACGGCTCGACAAACTCCAGCATGGTATCTGGAATGAAGAAAGGGGCAAACTACATATCATATCGCATGCAGAAAGGTGTACAAAGCCATTTGTGGCTTCTTTAATTTTTTTTTGATTTCACCCCCAATTGCACCCCCTCAGACGGCTCGACAAGCTCCAGCATGCTATCAGGGATGAAGAAAAAAGCAAACTACATAACATATCCCAAGCAGAAAGGTGTACAAAGCCCGTAGTGGCTTCTATGATTTTTTGTTTAATTTCACCCCTAATTGCACCCCCTCAGACGGCTCGACAAACTCCAGCATGGTATCAGGCATAAAGAAAATAGCTATCTTCATAACATATCTCAAGTAAAAAGGTGTACAAAGCCATTTGTGGCTTCTGTGATTTTTTTTTAATTTTATCCCCAATTGCACCTTCTCATACGGCTCGACAAACTCCAGCAAGCTATCGGGGATGAAGAAAAGAGCAAACTACATAACATATCCCAAGCAGAAAGGTGTACAAAGCCAGTAGTGGCTTCTATGATTTTTTGTTTAATTTCACCCCCAATTGCACCCCCTCAGACGGCTCGACAAACTCCAGCATGGTATCAGGCATAAAGAAAATAGCTATCTTCATAACATATCTCAAGTAAAAAGGTGTACAAATCCATTTGTGGCTTCCGTGATTTTTTTTTTAATTTCATCCCCAATTGCACCCCCTCAGACGGCTCGACAAACTCCAGCATGCTATCAGGGATGAAGAAAAGAGCAAACTACATAACATATCCCAAGCAGAAAGGTGTACAAAGCTATTTGTGGTTTCTGTGATTTTTTGTTTAATTTCACCCCCAATTGCACCCCCTCAGACGGCTCGACAAACTCCAGCATGCTATCAGGGATGAAGAAAAAAGCAAACTACATAACATATCCCAAGCAGAAAGGTGTACAAAGCCAGTAGTGGCCTCTATGATTTTTTGTTTAATTTCACCCCCAAGTGCACCCCCTCAGACGGCTCGACAAACTCCAGCATGGTATCAGGCATAAAGAAAATAGCTATCTTCATAACATATCTCAAGTAAAAAGGTGTACAAAGCCATTTGTGGCTTCTGTGATATTTTTATAATTTCATCCCCAATTGCACCCCCTCAGACGGCTCGACAAACTCCAGCATGCTATCAGGGATGAAGAAAAGAGCAAACTACATAACTTATCCCAAGCAGAAAGGTGTACAAAGCCAGTAGTGGCTTCTATGATTTTTTGTTTAATTTCACCCCCAATTGCACCCCCTCAGACGGCTCGACAAACTCCAGCATGGTATCAGGCATAAAGAAAATAGCTATCTTCATAACATATCTCAAGTAAAAAGGTGTACAAATCCATTTGTGGCTTCTGTGATTTTTTTTTTAATTTCATCCCCAATTGCACCCCCTCAGACGGCTCGACAAACTCCAGCATGGTATCAGGGATGAATAAAAGAGTAAACTACATAACATATCCCAAGCAGAAAGGTGTACAAAGCCATTTGTGCCTTCTATGATTTTTTTTTAAATTTCACCCCCAATTGCACCCCCTGAGACAAAGCAAAAGGTAATTGTGGGTATGGTTGCTGTGTATTGAAACCTCCCCAATTGAAATCTACAAATGAAAAGCCTCTACAGGTAATTTAAACCAAGTTATATGACTATTACGATAGAGTTATATTTTTCTCAGTGTACATTTGTGGATGTGGATAACTTCACACCCGTCAATACAGTGTATAACAAAATTAGAAAAAGAACACTATTTAATAAATGTGTTTGTTAATTACCTAAATGATTAGTTATTGTGAAATGCATAAATGGTAAACATAAATATGAACTCTTTCAAACCATATACCATTGAGAATTGAGTACCACCCCTCTATGCTCACGCCAAAAGTGATGACATCGCTTATACATAACAAAATACATTGAATGATATCTCTAGTCTAATATGCTCTAAGAATTATATACACAAACCTTCCTCATTTATTGCTGTTTCTATTAGTGTAAACTGTATAAAAATCTGCAGTGTGGTTTAGAAGAAGTAAGAGGAGAGAAAGACAGGCAGACAGTGTGTTTGTTTTATGCTATTTAGAGATTAGATATATAATTTTAAGACATATGTGTCATTCATTTATGATAAGTTCTTCAAGTACATGAATTCTTGAGAATGGGAACACTATAATATTGCTACAATAAATCTAATGCTGTATAAAAAGTTTGTACTGAAATAAACATATAAATTAATTCTGACATGAGCATCTAAACATGTTTGTTTTAAGCCCAAATATTTACATGTAAGACTAATGTGGTAGCTACCCATTTCCATTACTTTTTTTTATATACACATATAAAACTGGTTATTAATGTAGCTATAAAGCAAGTATGTAAGTTCACAAGATTAAAATGGTTTTTTAATTACATTTTCACAATTAATTAACATGAAGACATAAAGGAAATTATCAGCAAAAATTTAATTAATCGTATTTGACTATAATTTAATTGAAAAATCGATACCTTTCAAAAATTAAACAGTCAAAAGAATATAAATAAATCGATTTAATTATTTTTTATTCCCACGAATTGCATTACCAAATGCAAATTCACAGATTATATCGCATTTAAAACAACGCAATTTTTTCACACATATAATTAAAAACCAAGTAAATATAAAAGTGCCTACCTACTTACAAATATAATTCTAGGGCACCAAACTGTACTCGTGCAATCAAAATATTAGAACTAGAAAATATAATTACAGCAGACGTTTGACATTTGGATAGTTAAAGATTTTGCAATGTATTATTTATGTTTTAAATTAAATATGTGCTGATAACGATAATTATGATTTCTTTGAAGAGCTGACACTAGAATTGACAAAAACAGCTGTAATAAATACATATGTTAAATGTCAAAAAAACAAGAAAAATAAATCCTTTGTTGGGAGGCCTGCAGAGAGATATTAAGCCCTCTGGGCCTACAGGAGACAAGTTAAGGCTGAATTGCAATATTAATCAATTTCACTCACCGTAATATTCGCATGGATCGTGTATTCGACACAATTCTTTCCTATAAACCTACAAGTCAATTCGTCAACACTTGCCGAGATGATCTGAAACCGTTCATGATTTTTCGTAAATATCGATTCTAATGTCCTTATTTCCTGCTTCAATGTATTTAAACAAGCCATATGTATCACTAACTAGTAATTTTGTCAACTTTCCACTAGTCAAAAACTATTTGGAACACTAATTTTTGGTACTTGAGCACTCCCTTACACATCAAAATGGCTGCTCAATGGCGACTGGCGAGAAGAAAAGATGCGATCGGGGTAGATCGGTTCACTTCGACTATCAAGGTTTTCAAAAATAATGAGGGGAAACTGGGATTAACGGGATTTTTAATGTGGGATTTGAGGGCAAACGACGGTCCTTCGTAAAGTGAAACTTACAAAATGACCCATTTCATATTATAAGATTGATTTTGTAGGTAGGTACAATATATACCTAGATACCTATTTTATGTACCTACATGATAATAAAAGGCGCATAAAAATATACATAATGCCGTCTATACAAGGGGTGTTCAATAAATTATAATCCGCTGATTAAAAAATTGACACTTTCTATAATATAGATAAAGATTAGTAATAAAACCATTTAAATTATTAATTCTTAAATCAAATACCTATAAGAAGCTTTGAATACCTGGTTAAATTAAAAAGCTTCATCCCAGAATTATTTTTAATATTAAAAACCACAAATAAAAATCTGATGTGTCCAACACATGACTTTCCTATCTAGTTATTACAGGGATTTTTCGGTTATTTTGTACAACTTATTGTAGCACCTCTGTAAATATTTAGAGATTAACTTAATATATACATTTTCCACATCTAACTCGAAACATTTTTCTACAGTCTGTTCGCTATACTTAGGTACGCAGGTTTCGGATTAAAAATTTCCAGCTAAGTACCCGGAAATATCAACTGGTTAAATGAAATGAAAAATAATGTACAACTTTTTAATTAAATAATAATGGAGAATCTTTTGTATAATTGAGAGCAGAATTAAACTTCTTCATTAATGGAGTCTAATGTGGCTATTATAAACCTAATAATAATTTTATATTACACTTCACACACAAATTTAGTTCCTACCCTAATAATGTTATTTTAATTTAAATCTGACTATTAGGGCAATTTTACATAATTTCTTGGGTTATCGGAACTGGTTGTCAATGACTAATTTGCATAATTTTGTTAATCCGAAACCCGCGTAAGTATAGCGAACAGACTGTATTGCCAACGAAAATGCTGAAAAATTTAAATTTTATACTTTTCCTCCAATTTTTCCATTACGGTCCATTTTAGAGAAATCATGTAAAAAACAAAAATATAGAGATCGATATCGCAAAAATATTTTAGTTCAACAATCAGATTTTTTTACATTTTGAAAAATTTCTCGAATACGGATCATTTTAGGAAAATTTTGTATGAAGCAAAAATTGTAGAGAATAATATTAGAAGTAACTTTTATTTAAAGAATTTTCTTCTCCAAACGTAAATAACAGATATATTTCATAAAATATAAAAATGACTCTCTATAAAGTACCCCAGATGTTCCGACACTGCCTAAAATCTAAACATTTCACCTCAGGTCGGAATAAAGCATAAGTTTAAAATTTAAAGTTATTATCTTTATCCTTTTTTGAGTTTTCTTCAAAATTCAAAATTTACACATTTTCACAAATATCTCGAATACGGTCCATTTTAGAGAAATTATGTAGGGACAAAAATTATAGAGAATTATATCGGAAACAACTTTTATTTAAACAATGTTTATTTTTTTACATTAATTGTCATTACGTAATTATTGTGTTTTTGTCGTGTATTATAACAATGAGCAATATTTTGAAGAATAGCTTTATTTTTATAGAAATATAGCATAACATTAAAATAATATAGTTGCTGAATATCCAGGACATGACTTTCATAGAAAAGTAAGTCAGAAGAGTACATAATTGGTTTATTTAGTATTATTTTTAAAAATCTTTTTTGCAGGATGTCTAATCTGCGTAAATGAGTGTATGAGCATGTACACCTTAAAAAAATTAATTTTAAATATCTGAACGGTACTATTAGCCACAATGGCGAGCACAATGGCGTAATTTTTTAATAATTTGCTATATAATTATTATTATTTATGGACATTTGCATGTCTATAAATTACATCTCATAGATATAAAATAGATATCCACCATGGACTGGACATTCAGTGGATATTGGAATGTTCAGTAGATATCCAAAGGATTTGGTGTGCTGTCTGGGTAGGAGTCAGCTAAAAACACTGTATCATGCATAAGTGGAATCACGCCTTCAATATTGTATACTAAGCTGGAGTATACAATATTGAAGGCGTGATTCCACTTATGCATGATACAGTGTTTTTAGCTGACTCCTACCCAGACAGCACACCAAATCCTTTGGATATCTACTGAACATTCCAATATCCACTGAATGTCCAGTCCATGGTGGATATCTATTTTATATCTATGAGATGTAATTTATAGACATGCAAATGTCCATAAATAATAATAATTATATAGCAAATTATTAAAAAATTACGCCATTGTGCTCGCCATTGTGGCTAATAGTACCGTTCAGATATTTAAAATTAATTTTTTTAAGGTGTATTCAATATCCCACTAAATAATCAAAGTTTAGGCGCGAACGCAAACCATCGTGGATATCCACTAGATGTAATTTTTGATTTTGTTTACTAAATATAGATGGCGATACCACTTTCGCATCTACTCATGCTTAACCCGCCGTAATTGAGTTCGATCGAAATTTGTTTCCCAATCAGACTCCATTAGAGACTGGAGTCGAAAATTGGAGTCCTAATAAGGATGACTTTCTCCTTAGTGGGCAAAACCAAAGGCAGAGTGTTGAAAATATTTTGAGTGTTGAAAATATTTTTTCTGTTTTTTTCTTTCGACGTTATTCAATAAACATTGGTTACTTTTAAAATTACTATTAAAATTTCAGCGTGATTCAAAAACTTTTAATCAAATTTAAAAAAAATCAACTTTGGGGTTGATTTATCAATTATAAACCCTCTCAAAAGTGTCTGCCTAAATTACTAGTATTTTTAGAATTACCTAAACTTTCAATTGTTGTTTGTTGGCCTCTGAATCAAACAGATTTTTTGGGTCATATTTTACGACCCCTTTCTATTATGCGCAGTACCTGGTGTCCCGGGGTGGGTCTAGCCAACACAGGTATATCTGCTTTTCCATCCAAATGATTTCAAATTACAAAATTTCAAAGTGCATCAAACACTTAATGAAATGTGTGTTACTAGCTCTCCGGCTATTATGATACAGATTTTTCATAACGGTACGGATTTTTAATCAATAGAAACCCATAATTTTTCAATCAAGCATGCTGTGCATTTGACGTTTGTCCTAGGTTCCTATATGTAATTGTTTTAGTTGTCAAAATCAGTACGTATTAAATTTTCGTAGACAGCTAAACTTCGATAATTATATTATCAAAATGTCTGATATCAGCGATATAGAAGACTTACCATCGACTCCTCCACACATTTCGGAGAAAGCAGAAAATGCAGTACAAAATATTTTGCCCCAAAAATCTATGGTAATACCAATACCCGGGGTAATACCATTAATTATAATTTTGTAATTACTGTTATTGTGTTCAATACAAATATAAATATAATATTTATAGTTCTTGATTATTTATCGGGTGTAGAAAAAATAGAGTATGCAACTCTCATGTAATAGTTATTAATACACTTGCATAAACCATACGAAACCATCATTACATGATCGTTGCATAACATACTATTATGAAATCGAGTTTAAAAATATGTATTGCTTCTAAAAATGTACTTAGGTTAAATAGTCTTAATTTAAAGTAATAGAATGAATAAAAACTCTTCCTATTCCACGAAAATGATCAGCAAATAAAAATAATATATACCGTTGAATTCAGTTTTTTGTACTCTTTTCAAAAATATGGAATTATAAAATAACGAATTATAAAAAATTAAAAATACAGCGAGTTGTTTTCATATTTTTATCAGGGTAGTAGAATTTATGAATTTTTATTTAAGCCGGATCTGAATTTTTCTACTTTTTTATTAATTCAATTTATTCAGTTTAAATACATTACAATATTCTATACAATATTAAATGACATAATGATAGAATGAAAATATTAAATACAAATGGAAGTCAGACAAACGCAGCATCACATTAGGCTTGAAAGTCTGTTTCGTGAACTGCATTGCATGACTCCAGACACTGTATAAAATAAGCATTCCTAACTTATATAATGAATATAGCGTATACAAAAAAAAATACAAAATTTAAAAATAAACAAATTTTCCGTTTTTTCTTGTGCTTTTTTTTTGTTGCTAAGAAAATACTGGGCGAGTCACCCAAGAGTAGTACGCTTCAAGAATAAAGAGGAATATTATTCTCAAGATCAAGATGGTTAAGGGATGTTAAATATATCTGCATTTTTTTGTATAAACGTTTTCACCTCAGTTTTAAAAAAATTACATTTTGTTGTTAGTTTTAGGCTTTTTGGAAGCTTGTTAAATAATTTAGGTCCATAGTACATAAAGGAATGTTGGGTAGCAGTTTTATGAAAAAGTTCAGTTTTAATATCAAAGTTAGTTTTTGACCGAGTATCCCTCTGATGATTCAGGGTAGTGAACTTTGATGAATCATGGAACATCCTGGTTAGGCATTTGTAAACATATTTTCTTGATATAAAAGATTTGTGGAATGATACTTACTCTCTCTAAAAATTATTTTTAGAAGAATATTTTGTGAAATTTGTAATGGTGATAGAGTTGATTTGAATGCTGCATCCCATACTGGGATGCAGTATTGAATTATAGATTCAATAAGAGCTGTGTCCAAAATCAATAAATTTTTTCTTGTTAGGATGTCCCGTAATTAATAAAATTTGTGTATTAAAATTCTTAGTCGTTTAGAAACGTAGTTGATGTGGTCTACCCATTTTAAATGTTGATCAACAATAACTCCTAGGTACTTGAGAGATTTGTTTTTTTTTTTTTTAATTATAAAACAGTCACAATTATTGGCAGCAACACAAGATGGTTTATACAGTTTAATATTAAAAATTTTAGGCTTATCTGTAATGGTGGGAGAAAAAGTCATATATTTAGTTTTTTTTCATGTTTAGAGAAAGTTTGTTATTATTTATTTTTCATGTTATGTCCAGTGGTAGATTTAACAGTGTCCCATGTAGATCCAGTAAAAAATTATTACAGTATCATCTGCATAGCATATTATATGACCTTCGAAATTATTTATTTTACTGATACTGTTAATGTAAATTAAGAAAATAATAGGTCCTAATACTGTGCCTTGTGGTACTCCTAATTGTATTATAGACTCTGAACTAAATTTATTCCCTATTTTAACTCTTT